CTGCATTCACTTCTCCTACTGGGGATTACATAGATAAGCATTAGAAAGGTTTAGGTTAAAGCTACCAAATTGGTAAAACAATCTCAGTAGCTGGGAGGGGCTCAGGGACTCATCCACAAGGTGCTAATACCCCAAACAAAGACCATGAGCCACCTTTGATCTCAGGACAAGGAAAACTGCCATTGCCCAAGCCACAGCCATTGTATAGAATAGCACGTAGAGGGTCCCAAGTACACAGTAAACCTTTAGGTCAGTCGTTAAGCTGCTCACAAGACCACATTCCTTTCCCATGTAGATATTAGACTCACCCTCTTAGCTGTGGATTACCCCAGAGATAATATAGGTATTCCACTTTAGTATATATTAACCTTGTCTTTACTTAACCAGACAGGATTTCTACCTAGGCCTTTGTAACCGGCAATCTGCTGCCACCCTAGTCTGAGGCTGAAGTTCTCAAGCTCGCCTGGGATTCAGGTTCTCAAGCTGATCTGGGATTGAAGTTATCAAGATGGCCTGGGACTGAGGTTATTAAGATTCCTAGAAGCCCCCTCATCCAAAAGATCCTTCCCTATAATCAAGATCTAAGGAGAAAATGCACCAGACAAATGGACTTCTTCATTCTAAGGATTATGACTGTTTATACCTAAACAAAAGAGACATCATGTTTTATGATTATTGTTCCTATGCCTTTACCTTTTGGAGTAAAATATTTCCTCACCCATCCTACTCCTGTAAAACTCCTTCAGTAATAAATACGTATGTCTCCTAGCCATCAGGGCTGCAGTCTTGAGCTTGCTCTGGCTGAGGTCAGCTGAGAACATGCTAAAGGGCATTGAGGTTTCAGCCCAGATTTTGTTCACCCCTGTCGCCTTCCTATGTACCCACCCCGGCTGGAGCAGAGCTTCCAGCACATGAGAACCGGGAAGGGACCTCTGGATTTAACAAGTGGAGAGATATGCAGGTCTGTTAGGTTACTTCCCACACCTTCTGAGTGTGTTTGAAATAAGCATTTTGTTTTGTTTGTTTGTTTTTTAAGTTGTTTTTTTTGTTTGTTTGTTTGTTTTTTTGCTATAGGGCACATGTGCTTGCCCAAAAGACAGAGACAGAAGGCAAGAAATCACACCCCAGGGGGGATGACCACACTGCGATCCCTTCTCCTCCATTCTTCTCCCGGGATCTTGGGCATGTACACACACGTGCCGGGCATGAGTTTAAGCCACCGGGTCCAGGACTCAAACCGCGGGTCAACTACATGGAAGTCTGGCAACATAGCCATTACGCCAACTGCTGTTCTGAAATAAACATGTTTAATAGGGAGGAGAAGAGGAGAAAAGAGGAAGGACTATAAGGAGAGGTGGAGGAAGGAGAGAGGGGAAGGCGTAAGAGAGGAGAGAAGGAAGAGGAGGAGGATAAGGATGAGGAGGAGGAGGGCCGGGAGGACCTTGGTAGTAGAAGAGAGAAGAGGAAGACTTGAACTCTGATCCCCAGCAGGCTGGAACGTGCGACTTCTCTGCCAGGGGCTTCCTGAGTCGGCCGAGGGAACACGCCAAGGAGCCCACCCATCTGTAGCTGCCCAAGAGCTCCCCTCTGAAGTGCAGGGCGCCCACTGGGCTCTCAAGTGATGCAGACCACGACAACTTCCGGATCGACGCACCCGGCCAGCGGCCTCTCGGAGCTATCCAGGGTGAAGGAGAGCAGAATTTTTGCTAATTGCGCTCCCTAACAGAATGTAATGTTCACTGTCAAGTTTTAAAGATGAATTCGCAGACACTGCAGCAGCCTGAAGTGTCTGTCTTTTTCAGTGAAGTAATTAGAGATCCAAACTGCCTTCGTGAACTCAAGGGCCGAGCCCTCTGCCAAATGAGCTTCAGCACGACTCAGTGCACTAACCGGGACACTCTGTGTGGCCGCCCAACAGGAGGAGCAGATTTTAAAGGGCACCGCAGGTAAAAGGAGGAGCAGTTGCTTGCCCGTCCCGCGTTTGCCAGGGCTTCTGAGACAGAGCCCCACCAGGACTCCTCGCAGTCTCCCAAGAATGGGAGCAAACATACTGCTTCAGCCACAGGTAACGCTCCTCCTGCCTGCCCTTAGAGAGTACAAGAGCAATACGATCTCCTTGTAAAAGATTCCAACGGCAAAGAAGCACATAAAGAAAAATCCCACAGGAATCAACTACGAGTCTGTGGTTTCTATGGCTGCATAGTAAAGACGTGTGCTCTGTAAAAAAATAAAATTGTCAAAACCAGGAAAACATAAGAAAAGGAGAGTCATCCCTAACTTCACCATTGGAGACATCATGGTTTAACAGCTGTGGAACTTGGATAAATAAACCACGTGACCCCTGCTAGCTCTGCCTCAGGAACCCCCCTAGTTCAGCCCTGGCTCCCAGCCTCCCCTGCACCTCCTTGCAGCACCAGAAAAGAATTCTAGGCACCGCTCTCCGACTCGCATGGCACAGCACAGCCTTCACCAAGACATGGGCCGGTTTGTCGGCAAAAGCAACAGGCCCACGTGCAAAGGCTAGCACTACATGACACCAATTTAGGGAGATGCCTTCATAGTACTGAGTCTTCCGACCCAAAAACAGAAAAGGAGTGGCCTTCAGAAAGTTCACAGGAAATGTGTACTGTGCATTATGAAGAAACTTTGCATAGATTTCAAACTTTTTTGCCACAAAATAAATTCGTATTTAACTCCATTTTCCATAACCTTCTTTTTAGAATTACTTATTTAATTTTATCTATCATTGTTATTATTATTTTTTGAAATTTGCTACAGGGTGCATGCTCTCACCAGAGAGAGACAGAGACAGAGAGAAAGTGAGAGAGAAAAGTGAGAAAGCAAGCCGCCAGGTCTGGAACTTGAACCACTGTCAGCCACATGGGAGATTAGCATTTTAACCACCATGCCACCTGCTGGCCCCTCCCATGAACATCTTTTATAAAGAACTGTTTAATTTGTTATTATTATTACTATTTTAATTTTATATAGTGCTCATGAGAGAGAGAGAGAAAGTGAGAAAGCAAGCCTCCAGGTCCAGGACTCAAACTACAGTCTGCCATGTGGGAGTCCAGCACCTTAACCACCATGCCGCCTGTTGCCCCCTCCATGAACTTTTTAGTCTTGTATGCCTCTCTATTTATTTAGGTCTTCTTTAATTTTACTAGGCAATTAGTTTGTAGTTTTTTTTTTTTTAAAAAAAAAAGGATCTTGCACATCTTCTGTCAAACTTACTCATAATTATTTCATATTTTAATTATATCATGAATCGCACTTTCAATTTTAATTTCAGATTGCTTTAGTATGCAGAAATCAATTTTGTATATTAGCCTTGAATGCTGCATCCTTACTAAATCCACTTTTAAGTTCTAGAAGCTTTTCTTTTCTTTATTTATTTTACTCATGATGGAGCACGTGCGCACAGGAGAGAGACCGAGAGGGAGAGAGAAAAGCCCTGACAACGTCTCATCACCTGCGACCCACCTTCCCCCGCACTCCAGCTCGTCGGGATCTTGGGCACACACAAGTACCTGGTGTGCTTCCGGTCTGACCTGAGGCTTTGAACCCACAGCCAGCCACGTGGCTTCCAGCACTGCAGTTCAGTTTGCTATTGACTCTGCCCCCAGACTGGGCTCTGGAAGCTTTTTTCAGAGATTCAACAGAATTTTCTACATAGATGATTATGTCAGCTGTGAAAAAAGACTGTTCTACTTCTGCCTTTCTAATCTAATGCCTTTTATTTTCTTGCCTTATGGCACCGGCTACAACCTAGGACAATGCCAAGACGTGGAGAGTGAGCACCTGTCTTGTTCCTAACACTCTCTACAGCTAAGTGTGATGCTAGCACTGAGGTTTCCGTAGATGCCTCTTATCAGGGTAAGGAAACTCTCTTCTAGTTCTAGCTTGCTGAAATTTATTAAAAATGAATGTTAGAGGGCCAGCAATTGGTGTGGTGGTTAAGGTACTGGATTCTCATATGGTCAACTGCAGTTCGAGTCCTGGACCCAGCGGCTTGAAAATTACACCAGGCACATGTGCATGCGTGCCCAAAATCCAGCGAGGACAACAGAAGAGATGGGATTGTGGCAGGGCCATCCCCCTTGGGGGGTGATTTCTCACTTTTTCTTCTGTATCTCTCTCCAACGAGCTCACATTCCCTATGATGAATGCCAAAAAAAGAAAAAGAAAAAGAAAAAAAAAGAATGAATGTTAGGTATTGTCAAAAGCTCTTTTGGGGGACCAGCGGTTAGCATAATGGCTATGTCACTGGACTCCCACATAGTTGACCGCGGTTCGAGTCCCAGACCCGGTGGCTTAAACTCACGCCGGGTGCGTGTGCGTGTGTGCCCAAAATCCCAAGAGGAGAATGGAGGAGAAGGGATTGCGGTGTGGCCATTCCCCCTGGGGGGTGATTTCCTGCTTTCTGTCTCTCTGTCTCTCTCTGTCTGGCGAGTGCATGCGCCCTATAGCAAAAACCTCTCCAAAAAAAAAAAGCTCTTTCAGCATCTGTAGAGACGATTTTGTATTTTATAGCTAATCATTAGTATACTAGTTCAGTCACTAATGCTGAATTGCACTGGTTGATTTTCCAATGTTAAGGCGAGCTTGCATTCCTGGGATGAGTCTTACCTGGCTAGGATACTAGGAATATATAGACTGATTTGCTGACATTTTAATAAACATTTTAGATCTATGTTCATGAGAGACATTGTTCTGTCACTTCTCTTAGAATGTCTTTTTTTTTTTGGCTCTGATGTCAGGGGAATGATGGCCTCAGAGAAGAAGTAAGGAAGCGCCCCTCCTCTTCGCTCTCCCGGGTAAGTCAGTGTAGAAGTATGTATTCGTTTCTTAGGACTGTCCCAACAAAGCACCATCAATGGGTGGCTTAAACAACAAAGCCTTAGGGATAGCAGGTGGTATGGTGGTTGAGGCACTGGACTCCCACATGGTCAACTGCAGTTCGAGTCCTGTATCTGGCAGCTTGCGTTCTCATTTTTCCTCTCTCCCTCTCTCTCTCTCTCTCTCTCTCTCTCTCTCTGTGTGTGTGTGTGTGTGTGTGTGTGTGTGGTGTGTGTCTGGTGAGTCCACGCACTCTACAGCAAGAAAATTTTTAATGATAATAATAATAAAATTAAATATATAATTATTTTTTTAAAAGATAAAAGTTCAAGATATAATTGGGGACGGGAGAGGTCATAGTTCAACTCATACTAACTGGTAGTATTTCTTCCTTAAATACTTGGTAGACTTCACTAGTGAAGCTACTGGATATGGAGTTTTCTTTGTGAGGAGGTGAGGTTTTATACTATGAAGTCAATTTATTTAATAAATACGGAGGTTAGGGGAGCAAGCTATTTCTTCTTGAGTGAGCTTTTATTGTTCCGGTCTTTCATCTAAGTTGTAGAATTCTTTGGTACAAAGTTGATCATAACATTATTTTGTATCCTTTTAAAACCTGTAGCATCTGTAATTGAGTTGCCTCTCTCATTCCCAAGGGTAACTTGTATCTTTTCTCTTTTATTCCTCATGAGTCTGCCTAAAGGTTTGTAACTGACAGTGGTCTCAAAGATTTGGCTGTCATTTTTTGTTCATTTGTTTGTTTGTTTTTGCCACAGGGTATGTGCCTTGTGAGAGGTGGAAGAGACAGAAAGCCCCCTCCCCAAATGGGGCGTGGTTATGCTACAATTCCTTTCCTCCATTCCATCTTCCCACCAGGATTTTTTTTTTTGGGGGGGGACAGATTTTTGGCATAGGGCGCATGCGCTTGCCATTAAGGCAGAGGGAGACAGAGAGACAGAAAGCAAGAAATCACCCCCCACAGGGAATGGCCATGGTGCAATCCCTTCTCCTCCATTCTCCTCTCAAGATCTTGGGCACTCACACATACGCGCCTGGCGTGAGTTTATGCCCCCGGGTCCAGGTCTCGAACCACGGTCAACTCCATGGGAGTCCAGCGACATAGCCATCATGCCAACTGTTGGTCCCCTACCAGGATTTTAAGAATGCTCACACACCTGTGCCCAGTATGTTCTGCAAGCCACTGAGGCCAGGGTTTGGACTGTGGTCAGCCATGGGGGATCCGCATGAGCCTGGCTGGCAACGTGGCCAGATCCACACTTACTCGCTGTACTAGAGGCTAGCCCACAGGGACTGCTTCCAATTGCGTGGATTTTCCTCTACCGCTTTTCTGTTTTCTGTCTCAACTATTTCTGCTCTGATCTTTATTTCCTCTCTTTTGATTATTTGGGTGGAATTTACTCTTCTTTTTCTGGTGTCTTAGCAGTGGAAACTGAGATCACTGATTTGAAAATTTCCTCCAAACATAGATAGGCATTTAGTGCTATAAATTATTACCCAAGAACCGTTCTATTCATATACCCCCCCCAGAGTTTTATATAATGTGTTTTCATTTAGTTCAAAATATTTTCTGAAATCTTTTTCTGCTTCTGCTTTGGTCTAGTTAGAAGTATGTTATTTAATCTCCAAATATTGGGGAATTTGTTATATCTTCATGACTGAATTTCAGTTTCATCCCAGAGTAGTTAGAGAATATCCTTTGAACGATTTCCATCCTTTAAATTTGCTGAGACACATTTTATGGCCTAAAGATATGGCCCAGCTTCGTCCCTGCCACATCCAGTGGGAAAGAGCGTGTGTCTGCGGCTGTGGCATGAAGGGATCCGCACGTGCCAGGCAGGCCAGGCTGGGCGACCGCGCTGGCCAGCGTTCCCCCTCTCACCTGACGGCGGGGTGCTGACGTCTACAGCGCTGACTGAGGATCTTACTACTGCCCCACCCAGCTGTGCTTCCCCTGTTTCAAAGCTCTCGTTCTGTGTACACATGTTGATGCGCCTCATGTTACAGCCTTTGATGAACTGGCACCCCTTGTTGTTATAAGCCACTCCAGCTTTTTTTTTTTTTTTTTTTTTTTCAAGAGAGCTATTTTGCTATAGGGCGCACACGTGCTTCCTGGAGTAACAGAGGCAGAGAGTAAGAAATCATCCCCGGGAGGTATGGCCATGCCACAGTCCCTTCTCCATTCTCCTCTCAGGATTTTGGGCATGCACAAACACGGCAGGTGTGAGTTCTAAGCTGCCAGGTCGGGACTCAAACCGCGATCGATTACATAGGAGTCCAGCAACATAACCATTATGCCATCTGCTGGACTTGCCACTCCAGCTTTTTAAAAAATTACTATTGGTTGGGACCATCAGATGGTGTAATGGTTACGTTGCTGGACTCCCAGGTAGTCGACTGTGGTTCAAGTCCCAGACCCAGTGACTTACACTCATACCAAGTTCGTGTGTGCGTGTGCCCAAAATCCCAAGAGGAGAATGGAGGAGAAGAGATTGCGGCGTGGCCATCCCCCCTGGGGGGTGATTTCTCGCATTCTGTCTCTCTGTCTTTCTGGCAAGTACACGCGCCCTATAGCGAAAATCTCTCCAAAAAAGAAAAAAATTTACTATTGGTATGGTGTATCCTTTCCTGCCCTTTACATTTAAACTTTCATATCACTATATTTGCAGTGGGTTTCAGGTAAGCATTGCATAATTGGGTCTTGTCTTTCTATCCAACATAACAATTTTTGTGTTTTAAATGAGGTGCTTAGAATATTTCATCCATCATCGCTGTTGCTGGGGTTTAAATCCTACTGTATGTTTTTATTTGTCTCATCTGTCCTTCGTTCCCTTATTCCTATTTTTTCCACCTTTCAGATGGAGCATCTGTTATTTCATTTTATCTACCATTGTTAGACTAACAGCCATACATCTTCATTTTCTTTTATTACTAGTTGCTTTACTGCTTGTATATCTTTAACTTATCACGGCCTACTTTCAAGTAATATATCACTTCCCTTGTAACATACGAGCCACCACAACACACACCATTGCCCCCTCCTAGCCTTTGTGCTGTGATCAATATCCATCTCTATACGTTATGAACTGCACAATACACTTTTATTGTTTTTCCTTTAAACAGTCAATCATCAGTGAAAGACACTCTTTTTCTTTTATTCTCTTATTTTTTTTACATTTAATCATCGGGCATCTTTACAGCATTGCAAAATGAGTTTTTCCAGCATGAATACACTGTGAATTTGTCCAGTCAGACACATTACTATACTCACTATTGTCTACAGATAATTTTCCATTTTGCTTTTTCCCCTGATTCCCTCCCGCCCGCCTCCCATTGCCCACCCTCCTTCCACAGTCTCTAGAATCCACGGTTGCTCTCCATGTTTTTTTATTTTCCAATTGTTCAGTTTCTGCCATAAAGTGCAGACATTAAGTATATATTAAATGGGGACATACAATGGCTTGCTTTGCTTAGCATTAAATCCCCCATATTTGTTCACTTTATATCAAATGCTGGGGTCTCATTGTTGTTATGGCTGGGTAGTATTCCATAATGTATAGGTGCCACACTTTTTCAATCCATTCATCTGTTCTTGGACCTTTGGTTGATTCCAGGTCTCAGCAACTGTGAATAATACTGCAGTAAGCGTGGATGTGCAAGGGTTTTATTGACTGAGTGTATTCCTATCCTTTGGGTAGAAACCCAGGAGTGGCATTACTGGACTGTATGTAGTTCTATTTGTAGGTCTTTGAGGAACCTCCATATTGTTCTCCACAGTGGTTGCTCACCAGCATTTATCATTCTTTATTATTATCTGTTTAATCTTGGCCATTCTGATTGGGGTTAGGTGGTATCTCATTGTGGTTTTGATCTGCATCTCCTTTATGTTAAGAGATGTTGAGCAATTTTTAATATGCTTTTCAGTCATTCGTATGTCTTCCTTGGAGAGTTTTCTGTTCATCTCATTTGCCCATCTTTTAATTGAATTATTTGTTTTTCCCAAGTAAGCTGCTGGGGTTCCTTGGATATTCAAGTTAATCAGTCCCTTATCTGAGGCATAATTTGCAAATATATTCTCCCATTCTGAGGGTTGTCGCTTCACTCTAATTATTGTTTCTTTTTGCTGTGCAGAAGTTTTTTAACCTCATATAATCCCATTTGTCTATTTTCGAGATTATTACATGTGTTTTGGGGTCTCATTTAAGAAGTCTTTGCCTACTTAGATGTCTCTAAGAG